TGTATAGAGAGTATTTTCGTCATCTCATGTGTGCCTTGTGGCATTTTTAGAAAGAAAATTGTCATTATGGCATTTCTAGAAAATTTTTTAGAAATTATGACATTTCTCATAATTTTTTCTTTTAGTTTCGGGTTTTTTTAAGTTTATTTTTATTTCTCGGTTTTTCTTTCTAAAAAGTTCTTCTCACTTTCTTGTTATTTCTGTTTTTATTTGCGTGCAAATCGTCTTATGTGTGACAGTGGGATACCGGTCCACACAGCAGACATGTTAATTCCTTTGGGAAATAGTCTAAATGTACGTAAGCAGTTTAAAGAATTTTTCAGCGCATCATATTAGGATATCCACTCTACAACATCAACATGGTGTTTGTTTACACCGTAAGTGGCCAACTTGATGTATATATGAACTAATGTTGCTTGAGAATTGACATCCATGTTATCTAATCTTTTTATAATTATATTTTAACATCTGAAAATGTCCACGGAGTTTTATAACTAAATATCTTTGTCACACGTCACATTTGTCAAGACAAGACAAGACGAGATCACTAGCTTAATTTTGTCGAAAATGTCTTCTTCCCAACGGTTACAAATAAACCATAGAAAACCCAAATCCTGAGCCTAATTACACCCATTGACTACGATGGTGGTTCCAAATAAACGTGGAATCACACCATTAAGAAGCCAACAAAAGCCTTTTGACCATCTAAAATACATTATAGTAGCATTTTCTGTATGTAAAATATACTAGTGTATAAACTACTGTGTATAAAACGACCATTGACTTTTACGGTGGTTCCAATTCGACGTGGAATCACACCGTTAAGTTCTCCATCAACGAGGAAGCAGCCATATTGAGCCTAAAGGTCAAGTTATTTAGCTAATTGCTTAGAGGTTATTTAGGAGAAGTCAACGTCTCTGTCCATGAGCGTCTTGCCTCAAATCCGCTTCCATCGGACGATAAACTCAAGTTGGTGACTTACCCTCTGAAAGCCACGGAGAGAACCAACGGAACGCTGAGCCTCTCGTACCGGTTTAAACCGTTTGTACCGGTCGATGATCTTAATCCTTTGGCTTCGGATTACACGCCATTGTTTGATCAACCCGATTATCGATCGAGTTTAGGTCAGCCAGTCATGTATACCTCTCTATATCAACGTAAAATGACAAAACTGACCCTAGTGCTCCTGATCAAATCCGCTCAAGACATAAAAAAAGGGCAGCTTACTCATGATGATGAGCGTATATGCTTCCGTGATAATCCGTGAGGGAAAGACAACCAATAAAGATACAATCAAAACCCCAATCGTTGAGTGTGCCTATAGAAACCTGAGATGGGACCATGAAGTTAAATTTTCGCTCGATGCGAAGTTAGTCCGAGAGGTGGAAATCCCCTTGGTAAAGTGGTTGATCAAAAGTTCATCTCAACCACCTTAACAAGGCTTTTTAGGGTGATTAATTCAGTTTATTGCCTCAAATCCACTTCCACCGTTAACAAACGGTAACGGCGATAAAATGAAGTTGGTGATTCGTCCGGTGAAAGTCACAGGAGGAACGGAAGCAAAGCTAAGCTTCTCGTACCGGTTTAAACCGGCGTTGGCTGATAATTTGTATCCTTCTCTATCGTCGTCGTTCCGTTATCCAACAGTGCATTCAGGAAGATTATGCGAGAACGTCGTAAATCCGCCTCAGTTTCAAACCCCCATGAGGAAACTAGCCCTCGAACTAGTGATCAAAACGGCCAAGGACATAAAAGATGTCGGTTGGATGCAGGGCCGTGCTTAGTGTACAAAAATTAAGGCACTTGCCTTAGGCCCCCTAATTAACGCCAAATATTGGGGTCCCTAATTACGTACCTTTTCATAGTTCTATTGAAAAAATCATATATCTTCATGCTTAGTTTTTTTTTTAAAAAATTATCTTCATGCTTAGTTTGAACCACATGCTTGTTACTTTGTACTGGAGGTTGAATGTTTTCATTTCACATCATTAGTTTCTTTAATAAATATGCAGTTGGTTTTAAGTTAGTTAAGATTTTTACATACAACTATTAATATAATGTAAAAGAACTATGATAATTTAAGAAAAATAATGGATAATGATTTTAGAAAAAAAAAACAGAATATATATACTGTTTAATATATTTTACTTCTAAAAATATTATATTTAAAACATTTAAAATCTAACTAAGTAAGTTGTAGATTCATATTTTCATAGAAATTAGTTAAAGATTCAATATTTTCTTGTAAAAAAATCTTTAAAAAAATAGTTTAAAACTCGTCTTGGGCCCTTAAAATGTAGGGACGGCCCTGGTTGGATGAACGGTAAGGACATATATGCTTCCGTTATGATCCGAGAAGGCACGGAAATAAAGAATAGAAGCAATACTCCTATTGTCTTCTCGGTCTACAAAAACCCAATATGGGACCATGCAATTAGGTTTTCCCTCCACGAGCCAGGACGTTTAACCCGATTCGTGCAATTGATTAGTCACCGCATAGTACGCGGTGATAAGGAAATTGGAGAAGTCAAATCAGCCGTCTACGTTAACTGACGATATGAAGTTGGTAACTCGAGATGTGACGAATCCGTCCGGTAAAAGAGGAACATTGTGCTTCATGTATACGTTTCTTAATGAACAAGAAACGATTCCTCCGGCTCCACCTCAACCTTCATTTCCTACGGCTCCACCAACCTCAACAGCCCAACCATTCATCATATATGTACCTATCTCACATCAGTCATTCGGGTCACCAAACCCGATTCATGGAACCTCGGCTTACGCACATCCCGGGACAAGCAATGGTTTACATCCAGTTTATGTTCAGCCGCCTATTCAGTCACACGGATACCAACAATACAGCCACAATAATTCACAGTTTCAACCGACGCAACAACAAACACAATGTGCACAAAACCACAAAGCAATAGGTGGAGCCGAAGTCATAACTACTTGCTTCGGAACTTTTGCTTTTAGGGAGGTTCTAATTTCGTTCTTTTAGGGAACTTAATATGGATTCCTTCTTTCTGTTCCATTGGAATTTGTAATATAAAATGATCCTTGTGAAAGTGCATGAGTTGTATCCATCAATATTTCTTTCTTCCGRCAATAACTCTTCGATTCAACTGTACATACTTGAAGTCTTTTTAAAAATTATTCGCTTAAGTCCCATCTAAGTTTTAGAACAATGATTTTTACTTATGGGTAACTTGGTTTTACGGGATACTACAAGAAATTGCGAATCTTATTCCCCTCTTCGTATCAATAGACTTTCGGTCTGTTCATCATTCAAAACACATGTTAGCCGATGCTCTAGCTAAGAGTGGGGTGATAACCGAATATGATGTAATGTAACACATTAATCTTAATGAGAAGCACTTTTTGACCCAAACAAAGGTAACTTGGTTTTAATTAAAATTGAAAGATGC